AAGCATGTCTTAGGAGAAGTAAGAGCATTGCCAGTTACTCTCTGAGATGCTTGGATTTTTATAAGTATATGATACGAAATTGGTTAGGCATGATAACAGTAGGAGGTAAGGATGGCTTTAATTTATGAGCTAAGTGGGTGCTAAGTAACCAGAACAGAAGTAATGACCCTTCTGAGGCTAAGAAGATTCATTTTGAGAACAGTCCCCTTTTATTTTAACCTTATTAACTGTGAAATTTGTTCTGTGTTCATATACTCAAAAGTTGCCCTGCTTATTTCACTTCTGATTATAAAATCAGACTCTAATATCTTAGATTAACTTGGATTAAAATAGGCTATAATGTTCCCTTGTATCAATTACTGTATTCCAGTAAAGATTCCTACTGTTTTTGTTTTGTTTTGCTTCCCAAAGCCCCCTGCTGCTGTTGATTACACCTAGATCTGCTACTGATTGGAACTGTTAAAAGGCAAAGACAGTGTGGCTGGTTGCTGAATCATTTAATTGTAGGACTAATAAGAGATGTTCTGTCTGGGGCCTGAAAGAAATAGTAGCATTCAAGTAGTATGTATAAAGGGGCCAAGAATAGTCTTTAATAATTTTTGAAGATGTGAAATTTATTTACCTAGTGAATTTATTTACTTGTAACATAATAGAGGTTTATCGGCAGCCTGGTTGGATTCTTAAACCCTGTAAGTGAACCCTGAGAGGAAGGGAGAAAGGAGCATAGATGCTAGAGAAAAATTTGTACAAACAGTTATTTTTCTCTGACAGTTGAATGCTGTTTGTTTTTATAAAGATGAAACAAATGGATAGCAGTTCAGCAGTTGAGACATTTGGTAATACAATGACAGGAAATTCAAAGTTAAGTTTGTAATTGTGGCCATGTTTGTAACCCTGATGCACAATGTAAGGTGAAGGTTATGTAAGATACAAGCCTCTCAGGAGAAGTTTACATACAAGTTTTGAATACAGAAATAGGGTTTCCATGATAGCTGAGGGCATTTTATGAGGTGTCCGCAGATCAAGAACACCAGTCGCTTTGTACCCTCACTGCTTCAAAATTTGAGATAGTTAGTCCTTTGCTCTCCTTACTGAGGGGTTATTTGAAAGAGAATAGGCATGCACAAGTGTGTTACGTGATGCTTTATTCTGTTACTGCCCCTCTTGTTCATAAGTGATTGCTTGTTCTTTTAAACACATTTCAGGTTTCTAGGTGCAGACTGAATCAATGGTTTTAAGTAGCTTGTCTAAGGTTGTGTCTTGGGAGGTGTGATTGACTAGAACTTGAAATGGGAAAAAGCGAATGTTCTTGTATGATATTTATGGAAACATTTTGCTCAGGGGAATTGCGTGAAGGGTGCTGTCAGGAAGGATGCTGCCTGTTGGGCGGATGCGGGGCTGGAGGGGCCGGTCAGAAGGTGCTGTGGTTGACAGTAGGAAGGAAGCAGAATTCAGAGCTGGTGTCTCTTTCCTCTTGTTGGTGACTCATTGAATCAGTAAACTCTGAATAGAATTGCTGAAATCTAATTAATATGAATCGTGAACATTTATGTCATCTCAAGTGATAATATTAATCATTTTTGTGATCTCAACATGTGACACGGTACTTTGTCACGGTAGTCATTCAACTTCTAAAGTGAAAAACACAATAAGTAATCTGAAAGCACTTGTACTGGTCTGCTGGGGCGGCCATGACACGGTGTCACGGAGCAGGTGGAGCTGTCTCCCAGTTCTGGAGGCAAGAGGTCAGAGGTCAAGCTGTCATTAGCAGCGCGGGCTCCTGGGGGCGGGGAGGTCTGCTCTGGCCTCTCTCCTAGGGCTGTGGCTGACCACCTTCTTCCTGTGTCTTCACATTGTCCTCCCTCTTCCTGGGGCTGCATTTCCTCTTTCCAGAAGAACTCCAGTGGTGTTACCTGGGGCCACCTTGATCACATCCTTTTTACTCTGTCACCAACCAAGGCCACACCTGAGGCCCTGGGGTTAGGATTTAAACATGTAAGTGTTGATGGGTCCTAATGCAACCCATAACACCTCTGTTTGAAGTTGATAGCCTTTACCTGCCAGTGGCTAATGATACATACTGACTAATCAAAAAACAGATGTAGTCACAAGTGAAAATAAATATGTCGGGTAGGGACCCACAGTTATATGTCCCTGTCTGATTACCATGTGATGTAATTTTCACCTCAGTATATTTTATTATTTTATTTATTTAATTATTTTTCAATTTATATTTTCAGTCATTGTACTGGTTTCCATCTGCGGCAGAAATGGAGATGAAAGGCTGAGTTTCAAAAGTGCAGGAGAACTAAACTCCTTATCACTCCTTTCCCCTTGCTTAGGATACTCTCAATAATCATCCACCTTCACCATCACCATCCAGGCTTCTTAAGTTTTAAGAAAACAAGCATTAGTTTTGAAATATTATTGACAATAACTAGATTATAATGTTGCACCAGGTGGGCTTTTACCTACAACTTTGAACAGGTAGTCATTTATCTAGAAGAGAGATTGTCAAGATATGGTCCCTGGACCAGCAGCTCAGCCTTAGGTATTAACCAGGAATTTTGAGGATAGAGTCCAGGGATCTTTGTTTAATGAGACCTTGGGTGATTCTGCTATACACCAACATTTGAGGACCACTGGGCTGAATATAGGAATAATACCTAATTTTATTATTGTTTTTAAAGAGCTTAGAGTTTTTTTTTCCCCACTGTTATTTTGGTTATATTATCTGATACTGAGATTTTGATTAGGAATACCATTCAAAATTATTACATTGTTTTTGTGGGAAACCATTCATCTCTGTTGTTGGTTTAGAAATGTTTTATGTTTGCAAAAGCAAATTCAGCTCTCTTTAAATATATATATATGTGTGTGTGTATGCATGTATACATGTACATATGTTCCTCTCTCTCTCTTTCTCCTTCTACAGGTAGTAACATTGTACCTTGTTATTTGTACTTATAACTTGGAAGTCTTTCTATATCAATATACCCTTCTTTTGTCCTCCTCTTTTTAAATAGCTATATAGTAATACCACTGCATGCCTTTACAGTAACTTATTTAACAGGTCCCCTTTTGATGGACATTTATGTTGGTTTCACCATTTTGCTATTTTAAAAATTCTGTGAGAAATATTATTCTGTGTTTAAGTTACAGCTATATAGTTTCCCACATATTGAAGTATATTCACAGAATAATTTCCTAAGAATTAATTTCAAGGTCAAAGAGTATGTATGTGTATATATATACACTCATAATTTTGATAGCTATTTCCAAATTGCCCTCTATGGTAGTTATACCAGTGCTATACCTCCTTTATCAGATAGAAGTTATTACTTCAAAAATGTGTTTTTTTAAGATGCAGTAGTGTTACATGACAGTTATATTTCTGAAGGAGACAAATCTATGTTATGCTGAAAAAATACCCCAAAAACTTAAAGATAGTTTTTAACAAACGGTATATAAGACTACTTCAGCTTTACATATAAGTTAAAACATGTTTCAGAAATGTCTTATTGCATAACTTGAAGAGAGGACCGAGGATTGTCCCCTCTGCTCTGCAGTGAGCCCACGGTTAGCGGTGCGCTAGAAGGGGCGCTTACACATCGAGACAGGCGTCTCTGAGACGGTTTCGGTGCACTGTCAGGAGCGCCTAAACAGCTTTTAAATGTGAGAATCACTTGAGATACGACATTTGTAGTTGCTTAAAATTTTATGACTTTTTCTTTGGTATCTACCATAGTTCTTAATTAAACTCTTTTCAGGTTTTTTCATTTACTCAGTATCATTGGTTTATATTGTGTTAATCGTTTCACAGTCTAAAATGAGGCAGTGAGTGAGACACAGAGCCCTGGGTTTTTGGTGGTGTTTTTAAAAACATTCTATACTTCCCCACCCACCCCCCCCCTTTAACACTCTCTTAACTTAAAACTACTAAACAGATTTTTATTTTAATCATTGGAACAAAAAATGTTCTCTTGGGCTGATACCAGTACTTTCTATGCCAAGTTACAGACCGGAATCTATTTTTATAGGCCAAGATACAAACCTCTGAAAACCAGAGTTTATAATGGAAACACTGACAGGCCCTTAACTATCACAGCACACATGGCGCTGCTGAAATCATAAGGTACGAGGCACAAGATTTCACATGCAGGGGGAACATTGGATTTTAGCAATTGTATTGTCAAATGCCTTTCAGCTAGGATGTAGTAAGTGTCACGTGCAAATGTAGCCATGCCCGGGGCCATGGGAGTGTGATGTGTGGGCCAGTCCTGCCCTCTGCACGCTTGTACCCAGGCCCACAGACATTGGAGAAGCAATGATACACACATCTCCATCTGGAGATGGCCTTGTGAGCGGATATGGTTGGGGAGAAATAGGTGAACTTCCTGATGTGTAGATTTAATTCATGGCTCAGCCCTGAAAGTCTTGCATGTTTTTGCATGTAGGTTACTACACATGTTTCTGGGTATTATTGCAAAGCAGGAAGATCAGATCAATTACATCTTTATTATAATACCATCCTTGAAGAAAGCTTAAATGTTATGCTCTTACACAGCCAGGCAAGTTTGATACTAAGTAGTTGAATTGGAAACTTAACTGTTTATGTCTTCTTTGAGGGATTCTTTTTAGGTAAAAAAAAAAAAAAATAGGCTTTTCCGAAAACCACCTTTGGTTACTCAACTTTATTTGATTAAACAAAAATCATTAAAACAACTACCATTTTTTAAATTACTATGTTGAGACTAGTTCTTCTACCATCAGTTAGTGATTGTCATCAGTTAACACAATGAATGACCCTACAGTGTAATAATTACTTTAAAGGGAGAGCTCAGAACATGTCAGATGCTGGGAAGTAGTGAAAAGGGTTTGAGCTCTACAGATCATTTGAATGTTCATGAAGGGCTGCGTTCTCACGCTTGTAACACCAGCCGTGTCTACTCTCTTCCTTCCCTTTATCTTGTTAAACGCGGGAGAGATTTGGAGGTGTTATGTCAGATACGCCATCTCAGAAGCATCCTGAAGTGTTAGAGAAAACCAGTGTCTTGTGGGAAGATAATGAAGTGATAGTTTGTTGCTACAGGTTTTGCAAGTACTGCCAGAAGGAAGGGGTAAGGGGAAGATGTTAATTTGAATCTGAATCAGATTTTCTGTTCTAGTTAAATTTTCCTTAGCTGTTGACCTATATCCATATACATTTATTAAGGTTTAGATAGGATACATGTCTCTGTCCTAAGAGATATCTCTTATGCATCAAGTTGGCTTTCCATTAATGAGAATGTGGACATTTTTGAGTAATTTCACCTAGAGTGTTAGAAATAATGCTCTAGTATCCTGAAAAACGGAAAAGGTCTAAAGTACGCTATTTAATTCTGTGCACTGGTACCAATTCTAGAATAAGGAGCTTTCATTTCCATCCTCCACTTTCTTGCTCTGTTTCTTTAGGGACGACAGTCTGTATATTAGCCTCTGCTTCCCCTCTCCACTGCTGTGGAAAACTTCACCATGGGTTTAAGGAAAATACAGTGTTGATCTTGGTTATCTAGGCAAAAGTTAGTATCGTACTTTACAAGTTCCATTTTATAAGGGCACTTCACTGTGAAGTAAAATTGGTGTGAGTGTGAGTGTGGGTGTTTGTGTGCGTGCATGTGTGTTATGGTGGCGGAAAGACAGAAACACGCATTCCTGAGTTCCTAAATTTATAGATTTATCTGCTTTATAAATTGTTCTGGAAATGAAAGTACAATTTTATAAGCATAATACTATATGAGACCAAAATCCAGAAGCATTTCTAGAGCTGACTAAAATATTTTAGTTATTTGCATTCATAGCTGAGAGGGCTGATAACTGTTAAGGGCCTGCTGGCATATCAGATAATATACAAGCTCTCTGCCATACTCCACTGTTAATAAATTTGTTCAATCCACACATACCATTAGCAGTTTCTGACTAAAATCTTTTTTAGGAAGGGCAATATTTTCCACCAGTGAAGGAAGAGCCTTAGTTGTGCGTTGCCTTTATGCCTCTTGAAGCCGAGGTGGGGTGAGGCGGTCTCAGGATTTTCCTTTCCCAGCCCATCCGTGTGTTTTTCCCCTTCTTTAGTATTCTTACTTGGACTTGATACGCCAGACACTGGGCTAGGAGCTCCTGACCTTCAACAGTTGTTATTTACTCAAAAACAGCTCAAGGCCTTGGATTTAATTTATGATATTTATACTTTTAAATTTGCTTTCCAGCTTTGGTATTTTGCTTTCTTTACATATTGACCTTAATAGGTCAGATAAGCTAGTGCTATGTCTTAAATATGTTATCTTTTAATTGTAAGGAAAAAACAGATTTAGGTATTATTGGAATGTAGAAAATAAGCTTACTTCAGAAAAAAATTGAGTATGTTTTTGAACTTAGGTAAATAATTGGATGAGACTTTTGTTCACTTAGTTTCCAAGAAAATACAGGTATTCCAAGTAAGAGATTTGGCTGATGCATGATATTTTATGCCAGATATTGAAATATGCAAGAATACCTTGGGGAACTAAGGAATGGAAGGCTGTGAGAGGAAGCGTTAATTCCCAAGCTTGTTCCTTTTAAAATATTGTACTTCTTTTCTTGTTCCTTTAATCTGAATTGCCACCATTTCCTCTAAAGAGAGAAGTGAGCTCTCGTTTCTCCGCTGTTACTGATGAGCTTGCAGCCAGCCGCCCTCAGGAGCTCCCGTGGCTGCATTTGGGGTCTGAGTTACAGTGCGTATTCATACACTTGCTCCGGGTGACTTCTGTACTCTGCGGTTGCGGTCTGCCAAGACTACAGGTCCTCACATCAGCTGCCAGCTCCCACGTAGGCTCCACGTCCTTCCCCGTCACTCTGTCGCCTCATCTTCTTTACGTTTTCCTCACAACAAGACCCTGCCGGCATGTGAGCTGCATCTGATCCTTGATTCAGTGCTTGTCTTCACCTGGAATATAAGTTCTCTGAAGACAGAGACCCCTGCTGCCTTCTTTACCAGGAACTGGCTGTCTCCCAGCCCTGCCTCTGGCCCTCACGAGGATTCAACAGGCGTTTACTCAGCTGAAAGCGTGTCACACCTTTGCTGACCTGCTTCCTCCAGTTTCTGCTCAGTGCCTCCCCTCCTTTCTCGAGAGACACGTTGGGAAGACGTGACGTGAAATCTGAGTTCATGTGTGAGGTAGTGAGCGAACCTAAAGGGACACTCAAAGGATTTGTGTTTTTGAGCTCTAAGAGCCGTGCTGTTTCCTGGCTTGTTCTGACCCCTAACGGGGTGAGTGTGTCCAGTGACTGAGTGACAGTGATGGTAATCACAGAAGTACCGAGTGCCGGCCACGAACGCCTCAGGTGTCGTCAGTCCTCCAGGATCATTCGTTTAATCCTCACAAAGCCTGTGAGGTGTGTATTTCCCACTTTCACACTGAGAGTACCAGGGCAGGGAGAGTCTAGCCAGCATGCCTAAGGTCAGGTAATTAGGACAGGCTCTTCCTCAATTTGAGCCTGGAACTGTGACTTGGTCCTGGTGTCAGCAGTGGCAGAGGGAAGGCCTCGCTTTGCAGGAGCGGTGAAGCGGGTGCTGGTGCGTGTTGAGGGGCTCTTCTTCTCCTTTCAAGAAACCTTCTGTTTTGCTTACTATATGTATTTTTTATTTGAAGTACAAATATGGGGTTGACTTTAACATGATCAGATTTCTGAATTTATTCAATTCAGAAGTTTAAAATTGAATAAAAAGGAGTTAAGAAACATTTCAGAGAGAATTGAACATTTGAGATGAACTTTGAGAAGTGATTAGTGGCATCTGGTCTGATGAATATTTATTCATTAATTTGACAATATGTACTGTCTGTTCTTTGTTAGGTCATGAGAATAGAGGAGTGAAAAAGAAAAAGAAAGGTTTCAGAGAGAGAGCAATGGATTGGGATAGGTTTCCCTGACCAAGGCTAGTGGCCCAAAGAAACAGAGACAGGAAGGAAAACCCTGGATATCTTTAGAGGATGAAAAGACATGAAGATTAGAGGTAGATATGGATAGATCAGGAAAGGTATGGAGAAGAGTTCAGTTGAGTTCTGTTCAGTCGCTCCGTTGTGTCCGACCGTTTGCGGCCCCATGAATCGCAGCACACCAGGCCTCCCTGTCCATCACCAACTCCCGAAGTTTACTCAAACTCATGCCCATTTAGTTGGTGATGCCATCCAGCCATCTCATCCTCTGTCATCCCCTTCTCCTCCTGCGCCCAATGCCTCCCAGCATCAGGGTCTTTTCCAGTGAGTCAGCTCTTTGCATGAGGTGGCCAAAGTATTAGAGTTTCAGCTTCAGGATCAGTCCTTCCAATGAACACCCAGGACTGATCTTTAGGATGGACTGGTTGGATCTCCTTGCAGTCCAAGGGACTCTCAAGAGTCTTCTCCAACACCACAGTTCAAAAGCATCAATTTTTCGGTGCTCAGCTTTCTTCACAGTCCAACTCTCACATCCACACATGACCACTGGAAAAACCATAGCCTTGACTAGACAGACCTTTGTTGGCAAAGTAATGTCTCTGCTTTTTAATATGCTATCTAAGTTGGTCATAACTTTCCTTCCAAGGAGTAAGCGTCTTTTAATTTCATGGCTGCAGTCACCATCTGCAGTGATTTGGGAGCCCCCAAAAATAAAGTCTGACACTGTTACCACTGTCTCCCTATCTATTTCCCATGAAGTGATGGGACCAGATGCCATGATCTTAGTTTTCTGAATGTTGAGCTTTAAGCCAACTTTTTCACTCTCCTCTTTATCTTTCATCAAGAGGCTCTTTAGTTCTTTTTCAGTTTCTGCTAAAAGGGTGGTGTCATCTGCATATCTGAGGTTATTGATATTTCTCCCAGCAAGTTGTTGTTAGGTGTATTTATATTTCAATAGACATTATGCAACCACAGACATTACCTTATTGAAGTAATATGAAATATAAAGTGGTTATGGGTCGAAAGAATAAGATTTTATTAATTGCTCTGCTTTCCAATTGTATGAATTTGAATGAGTCATTTTAATGTTTTCATAAGCAAATATTTCTTAGAAGGTATGTCCTCATGTTATAATTTTTTAAAGCATACCCAGGGATCTAAACTGAAAAATCTTTCCTCAAGCATAGTGAGCTTATATTTATATATATTTTCAAAATAAGGAGTCATGTTGTATATATTCTGCTACTTGCTGACTTCAGTATCCTTTGTATATTTTCTTTATCAGTGAATTTATACTCTTAATGCTTATGTGTTATTCCATTTCTGGATTACCAAAATTTATAAAACCAATTCTTTATCGATGGATAAAGGTTGTTTATAGTTGTTTATAGTTTTGGAGTATTACAGTCAACATCTTTCTGCATGGATTTGGCTGGAGGGCATGTCAGTAGGATAAATTCGTCACAGTAGCATTACTGAACCAAAGGGCATACACATTTATAATTTTGATAGTTGTTGCCAGATTGCTCTTCAGAAATTTGTGCTTCTATAATCAAGTTAATCAAAATCAAAATGCATATTTCTCCACATCCTTATCAATACTAGGTATTATCCACCTTTTTTTTTATTTGGCAAATTTGATGAGAATTACATCTAATTTTTTTAGTTGACATTTCTTTAATTATGAGTGAGGTTGCACATTATTTTATGTTACATGCACATACATTCAGATACACAGTAACATTTCATTTTGCTGGAACTACTTAATGCTCACTGTTACTCGTTCATTTAACTCTTCCAGTTTTATTTTTCTCATACTTTTTTTAAAAAGAGGACAGTTACCCTTCTTCCTCAGTAAATGGTTGAGGTGATCAAGTAAGTTAGTGTTTGTCAACCATGTTTTTTCATTATTGCTTTCCTAAAAAAACTTTTAAACAATGTTCCCCTAATCCTCTCCCTTTCCCAGTGATGTTTTAATACCACAGATGTACACGGATACACTGTATATCTTTTTATCTTCTGTGGTCTCTTGGTGGGCCATAAGCCATTATAATGTCTTAAGATTTCTCTCCAGCCCTACCCCAGTAGCCAATTTTCATCCCTTCAAGGACAGTATCACTCCTATTGAGATCATATGGTACATGTAAAGTTTTTGTAAAGTGCAAAGTGCTATTTAAATATAAAGCTTTATTGTTAATAAATTGCATTTCATGTGATATAATACTCCATGTTTGTTTTCCAGCTGCCTTTTCCTCATTGCAGATTCCCCTTTTGTGGCCCTCGGCATTTATTATTTTTCTGTTCATTTGCTGCCCCTGGGACAGTCTTTGTTGTGTTGACCTCTCCTCAGCTCTCCCTGCCTATCATCAAGATGTTACTCTTCTTTGAGAGCCTGTCCTGGATAAGTTCACTTTCTCCATGAAGTCTTTTTAGTCCCTTGTAATTATCCCTTGGCTTCACAGAGTTAGAGCTCTTTTAATACATCTCCTCTGCTGTGACTTTCTGTCTTTTATTACAGGTTTGTCTGTCTCCTCCTGATAGATTGTTAGTGTCAGAATAGCAGTGATGTTGCCTGTTTTCATCCTTTATTCCCATATGTTCTTTTCCTGGTGCCATTGTACATGGTGGGAAGACAGGAGGGACGTCTTGCAATGGATTTCTAAAGACGTTTGAATCCATGTCCCAGCCACCCAGTGTGTGACCTTGGGCTGAGACCTTTAACCTGCGAGCCTCAGTATCCACCTGTACAATAATACCATCTTTTTGATAAAATTGCTGAAAAGATTGAATGGCATAATAACATAAAGCACAGTGCCTGGCATGTAATTAAGCTTTCTGTTAAATATTAGTAATCTGCAAATATTTCTTAGCACAGAGAAAGATGTTGAACGAAGTATTATCATAATCATTTTTGTTTCTTTCTTATTTGGGAGCATAATCTATTGTTCATGTACACAGAGAAAACGTGGTTTTCTTTAAATCATTTTTTTTTAAAGAATGTGTCCTACAATATATTCAGCATATGGGTATCATTTAAAGTGTACCTGAATAATAATATATTATGCATTATTCTTTTGTCTTTCAGTACAGTGTTAGGATTATTAAATAGCCATGATTAAAAGAAAAATCCTATAAATCACTGAGCAAAAGACAACCCAGTTGAAAACTGGTCAAAAGATATGATAGCACTCTGATAAAGAGACCCAAATGGCCAGTAAAGAGATATGAATGATTAATTTTATTTGACAAGTTGACTGGGCCATGGGGTGCCCAGGTGTTTGCTCAGACATTATTTTGGGAGTTTTGGTGGGGGTGTTTTGGATGAAATTAATATTTAAATAGACAGAAAGCAGATTGCCCTCTATAATGTAGGTGAGCCTCATCCAGTCAGTCGAAGGCCTGGCGAGAACATAACGCTGGCCTTTCTAATGAGCAAGAAGAATTCTGTAGTGCAGTGATCTGGACTTCATATACAACATCCCTTCCTGCCTGCAGACTGGGACGTTATCTCCTCCTGTCTGAGAGGCTAGACCGTTGACTCTTCCCGAATTGTCCACTTGCTTTCCCATTTTGATCATTGAACTTTCTAGTTTCCATTAATCATGAGAGCCAGTTTCTTCATAATAAATCTCTCTCTCTGTCTCTCTCTATATGTGTGTGTGTGTGTGTGTGTGTGTGTGTGTGTGTAAAAAAGAGATATTCAGTGACACATTTATTTATTTAAGATTTTGGCCATGCTGCACAGCTTATGGGATGTTAGTTCCCCAACTAGGGATTGAACCCAGGCACTTGCCAGTAAACTGCTGGACTGCCAGGGAATTCCCCATCTATGTATGTCCTTATTTGCGTGGGATGGTGTGGGGGAAAGTTGGGAGAGGTGGAAGAGGGAGGAAGAGGGAAGAGCAGGGAAATAAAGTTTCCTATTTGTTCTGTTTCTTTAGAGTACCCTGACTAATGCAGCAGATAGAAAGTCTTTCTATCAGA